CACAAGAGATGGAGCGATTCCTACATACATACAAATTACCAAAACTGAACCGAGTGACTTAGAAAACCTTGAACAGGGGCTGGGAATTTAGCTCAGCAGCATAAACACCTGCCTGGCCAGCATGAGGTCATGAGTTCAATCCCCAGTACCAAAAAGAAGAAAGAAAAAAAATCTTGAACAACTCAATAACAGGCAATGAAGTTGAAGCACTAATAAAAACACTGTTAATAAAGAAAGCCCAAGATCTAATGGATTTACAGCCAAAGACTACAAGAACTTCAGGGAGGCTCTAACACTGATACTCCTTTAACTCTTTAATGAAATCAAGAGGAAAGGAGTACTTTCAAAATCATTCTTAGATACTAACTGTCCTGATCCCTAAACCAGATAAAGCTCTAACTAAAAAAAATAACTACAAGCCAGTTTCTTTAATGAACATAGATGCAAAAATCCTCAACATGATACTGGCAAATAGAATGCAGCAAATCATCAAAAATATCATACACCATGACCAGGTGTGCCTCATCCAGGGATGGGAAGATGGTGCAACACATGCAAGTCAACAAATGTTATTGTTCATTGCATAAAGCAATGGCAAATCTCACATGATCATTTCAAAAGACACACACAAAAAAACTTCGACAAAATACAACATCCATTCATGATAAAAAAAAAAATCTCTGAATAAAATAGGAATGGGCGGGCTTTATCTCAATCTGTCAAAAGCCATTTATGGCCAGCCTGTTGCCAATATCATATGACGTGTGATTTCTTTCTAAAATCAGGAACAAAATAAAGATGTCCATTATTATCACTTCCGTTCAGTGTGGTCCTCCAAACATTAGGCAAAGCATCCAAAGGGAAGAAATAAAAGAGATGTATTTAGGAAAGATCAAAATATCATTATTTGCTGGGGATTTAGCTCAGTGGCATAAGTGCCTGTCCAGCAAGCGCAAGGTCATGAGTTCAGTCCCCCCCCCAAAAAAAAACATTATTTGCAGGTGACATGATGATTTATTTACAAGACCCAAAAACCTTCACTAAAATGCTACAAAAATTAATAACCAAATTTAGTAATGTAGTAAAATAGAAAATAAACACAAATCTTATATACTAATAATGAATTTATTAAATAAGAGATTAGAAAAACTACCATTCACAGTACCATCAAAGCAAATTAAATAAAATAATACCTCGATCTGCAGGCATAATTTGTTTCAAAAACATGCTTATAATTCAAAGCACTTGTATATCCAAGCAAATTTCGCCATAAGAAATAATGGAACCTCAGATGATTTGTCCAACAACCCAAAAAATACTGTAATATGACACAGAATAACAAAGAAAATACAAAACAGGATAATAAAATTAACCTCCACTTACTTACCTTTGAAAACCTCTGTGGCTGGTGTGAGGGAGACAAGAGAGGAGAGTCATCATGCAGGAGGACTCTCACTATCATTAATAGAATCACCGCTATCTGTTGGCTCAGCATAATATTTTAATTTTCCTTTTGGTGTAAATTTAATAAGAAATTTAGCCAATGATAGTTGCTTGATACTTACTTTTGAAAATTTCACAGAAATATGACATTGTATTGTCATTAAACAGGTTCATCACTCACACTGCTACAGCCTTATTCAGATGATATTTTTCTAGAAAACTTTGCAGTGTTTCCCACATTTCCGTAGCCTCATTTGAACGAAGGGATTGCTCCACCTTTTTCTCCTCCGCGGATGAGAACCCCTCTGTAACCTCTTGCTGTTGGCAGCCAATCTCCCATAATCCTTCAGTAAGAGAGAGAGAGAGAGAACCACTGGCTCAGTTGTGAACATGTGGCGACAGCATCACGTGGTACTCATAGTGCAAGGCATCACTCTTAGCAAGTTAAAATGTGCTAGAAATGTTTGCTTGTCTTGTGGAACAAGACAATTAACCTAAGAAAGATAGTGCAGGACCTCTACAATGAAAATGACATCATTCTGAAAAAGAAAATTGGAAGGAAATCAGAAAATAAAAAGACATCTTTTGTTCAAAGTTAGATAGACCCAGTATAAACAAAATGGCTGTACTTCCCTAATCAACAGACTTAATGTAATCAACAACCAAAACACCAATGGCATGTCTCACAGATCTAGAGAAAACAATCCTAAAATTCATATGGAAAAAGATTAGACCCAGAATACCAAAAATAATCCTGGAAAACAAAAGCAAAGCCCATGACTTCACAATCCCAGGTGTGGAAGCTTTGCTATGAAGCTGTGGTGGTTTAAACTGCATTGTACTGTCATAAAAACAGGTACGTGGATCGACAGGACAGAACAGAGGAAGCAGAACCAACCACTGACACATGCATCTACTTGATCCGTGACAAAAGGGCCAAAGCATAGACGGGAGGAAAGCTAGCCTCTTTCATAAATCATGCTGGGAAATTTGAATATTCACAAACAGAAGATCGAGTCTAGATCAGTATGATTCCTCGTCTACTAAACTAGTATCAACATGGATCAAAGATTTAAATGTTAAAACAGAAACCATTGAATCTTCTGGAAGATAAAATTGGTATGACTCTTGAAGATAAAAGCATAAGCAAAAACTTTTTAAACAGAACTTCAATGGTCAAGAAATAATACAAAGAATCAATAAATGGAATCTTATTAAATTGAAAAGCTTCTGTACTCCAAAGGAAGCAACCAAGAGAGTGAAGAGACAGCCTACAGAATGTGGGTGATTTTCTGCCAGCTACTCCTCAAAGGACTAACATCTAAAATGTATAAAAATCTCAAAAAAAGATTACCCAAAATAAAAGACTCGATCAAAAAAAAAAAAAGGAAAACCATAGATACTTCTCAGAAGAAGAAATAAAGATGGCCAATAAAATGTGAAAAAATGTTCAATATTGCTGGCCATTAGAGGTATGCTATGCTGAAATATCATCTTAACTCAGAAAGCATGGCTATTATAAAAAAAAATGTAATAACAAGTGCTGGTGAGGATGGGGGAAACACCGTTCTACATTGTTGGTGAGAATGCAGTCACCTTGGATATCAATGTGGAGGTTCTTCACAAAACTAAAAATAGAATTCCACTGGATTGAGCAATCTCACATTTAAGTACGTCCCCCCCCAAATTTATCATATTAAAGGGATACATATGCATGGCTTTTTTTCTAGCAGCACAATTTATAATACCTAGATCTTGGAAACTGTGTATATACATCAACAGATGAATGGATAAAAAATGTACTGTTTATACACAGTGGAGTACTACTCTACCGTAAAGAAAGATAAACTTGAGACATTTGTAAGTAAATGCATACAACTTGAGAACATAACGTTAAGTGAAATAAATCAGACACCCAAAGAATCACGATTCCTTTTATATCAGGAACTCTATATAATTTATGAGTAAACAGCCAAATGGAACAGCAGAGAGAAAAGCAGAGAGAAGTTCAAATAGTTCCCCCAATTTCTCCATTTAAAAAAAATATTTTAGAATAATGACAGTCTGTTTCACTTATACTTCCATTCTCTCTTAGTTCATTGAGAAGAAAGTTTTGTGCTAATAATGAGTTTCTTCTTTGTAAAAATGTTTATTGTCTGTGTCTTGAACCCTTGAACTCTGAGTAACTGCTTTGCAGATAATGATACACGGTGTACTCATTGCTGTTATTCTCTTATTTGGTTATGAAATTTTCTTTTTTTGCAAAGTTAATAAAAGAAAAATTGATATAGAAATGTCAAACCTAGAAGAATAAAGAGCACATCCATTTGCTTCTTGGTCCATCGAATGTATTTAGGCTCAAACAAAATCAAGTGCCCTGTAACAGCTCCAAGAAAATTAAAATAGCTATAGTTTAATATTAGCCATGGGAATTGGAGCAGAAAATTCCACTGCAGAAGAGAGATATGTCTGCATCAAATAAAGAAAAAATAGATTATAGTATAACTGCCATATTAAATTATACTGGTGTCCTACGAGACTATCTTTGGCTCAGCAGCCAGTTTCTTTGTTTTGTTTTGTTTTTGAGACAGGGTCTTGCTATGCAGTTCAGGCTTCTCTTGAACTCACTCTGTATCCCAGATTTGCTTCAGATGCACAGCAATCCTCCTGCCTCAGCCTCCTGAATACTAGGATTACAGGTGTGCACCACCCACCCAGCAAGCGAGTTACATTTTGAGACAGCAAGTGGTTTTGCCCACCTGAACCTCTTGCTAAGGTGCAAAGTATTGCTAGTGTGCAAGATGTTTTTATTTTGTCAGTTAGAGGCAGGATAAAATGACGAAAGGAGGACATTAATAGAGTCGAGCAGAACTGGATTCAAATTCAAGCGATACTGTAGACATGTGTCTTTGAGTTATATAACTTCTCTGAGTCTCTACTTATGTATGAGATTTTAATGATGCCTTTCTCTGAATGTTTCTCGAATAAGATAGATGGAGTATTTCAGACACAATATGTATTTCATAACTGTCTTTTGACCATTGGTTCCTACAGATTTGGCTATATATTTTGCTGCTATATTCCACTTTTTTTAAACCAAAAGTGATATACAACAGACATGCCCAGGAGTGAGCCCTGGCCCCTGGGTTGGTTCCCAAAGCAGCCCCACAACATTCTGAAAGTCTGGGGAGCATCCAGTGAAACTTCAGGAACCTTCCTGGGACCTGAGCCTGCCACCAGCTTGAGTTTCCGTGTAGCTTATCTTTGAGCTAGTTCTGTTTTCTTTTTTAAAGTCTCTACAACTTAGCTTATTTTCCAGACATTAGGTGTGCGAAGTTAAGAGATGCCCTACTGAAGTATTTCCAAGAAATCAACAAAGAAAAACAAGCAAGATCAGGCAAGCTAGTCCACATATTAAAGTAACATGAAGATTAATTTCAAGAGGAGAATGAAAGACAGGCGTGCTGTTTTGCAGTGATAGCATTTTTATGCGGACCACTGACCTATCTTTTGAGTGTGTGTTCTCCTTTCAATGACACTAATTTTGAACTCCTCAGGAAGCCAAAGCCGTCGTGGAAGAAACGAGGGCTCTGCGAACTCGGATTCATCTTGCGGAAGCTGCACAGAGGCAGGCGCACGGGATGGAAATGGACTACGAAGAAGTGATCCGTCTGTTAGAGGCCGAGATGTCGGAGCTGAAGGCTCAGCTCGCTGATCATTCTGACCAAAATAAAGTAAGCAAAACAGTCTTCTCCTCTCGTTACCATGGTTTCCTGGCCGTTGTTATGTATTCTGTTTTCATTTTCTTTTCATCTGCACTTCTAAACTAGGTCAGTGTTTTGTCTTCCGTTCACTGATAGGATGATGTGTGCTGAGGAGGTAATGTGCAGGTTGTGAGCCTGCCCTTTATCCAGAGAACTGCGGGAGCAAAAAGCAGGGCACCCCAAATTTATCTGGGTCATTGGTCAGTGTGGTCCAGTTCAGGCACTCAGTCCTGTAACTACTTAGCATTTAATTGATTGCATTGATTTTCACCTTCGTTTCTGAATTGACTAACTGCTGGAAGAAGGGGTGTGTTTTGTTCTTTGATTAGAGGACTTTAGGAAAAAATTGTGCCCAAAGCTCAAAATAATTAATAAGAAGAAACCAAGTATGAATTTTTTCTTGGTGTAGAGTGTACTAAAGTAAGCTCTAGTAAAAGGTTCTCAATTTCAATAGCAAAATACTGAATGGTTTTCAGAAGGCAATGTAATCTTTTCTTTATGCAAATTATTTTATATGATTTTTTTACACTGTGCATACTATATTCATTGAATAGCTTCCAACAACTATAGTAGACATATTTTCTTAATTCAGTGAAGACAGGAAAATGAATCAATTGAAATAGATGTAACTTCATAGAGTTGTTCAACTATAAACACGAGAGTATCTCTAAACCATTCAGCTGTCAAGAGAACATAAAGTGAATCTGAATAATGTATGAATGTTTGATTAAGCATATAAAAGAAATGAATTCTGCAGATATGCCAACTGAGAATAAAACTAGTTTTCCAAAAGCAAAATTTAGGAAAAGAGTCTAAAACTTTTTATTTAGCTCTTTAGAGTATGTAGCATACTTCTTGCATCTGTTTACTAAAACCATTTCCATAAGAAGGCTGAAGTTCTGTCTGCCTTTCACAGTACAGCAAAACAGGGGAAGTCACACAAGGCAGTATTAACACAGGACTGTCACGTGCACTTGTTATTTTTCGATCCAGAATTCACACTCCAAAAAATGAGATGTGACTGTTTCATGCAACTTTAGCCTGATTATGAAAACAGGAATTTATGCAATTTGATCATTTAGGAATTATCAAAACATTAAATTTCAGATTGTTTTTATAACCATGCTTTTATTATTCATTGTAATTTTCTCTTATCTACTTATTTGTTTGAGGTCTTTTTAAAAAATTCACCTCTAATTTAAGAAATCATTGCAAAATACCTTTGAAGATCCACAAAGTCCCTCTCCTGTTACTTGTCCCTGGAGGTAACCACTTTTTTGGTTTTAATGTTTTCTGTTTCTTGTTAATTAAAAAATTTATACACACACACACACATATACAAAACCAAACACTGTATTATTCAGAGATGCATATATATATATATATATATATATATGTATAAAATGATGTTTAGTTTTGTGTGTGTATATATATATATATATATATATATATATCCTGAATAATACAGTGTTTAGTTTTGTCTATTTTATCAATTTTATATAAATACAAATATACTACATGTACCATTCTGTCATTTTTTTTACTCAATATTTTGTGTTTTTAAATCCATCTATTTGAAGTTGGTGCCTAGTTCTGTCTTTTAATTCCTTCTTTGTACACAACTGCACAGATCACTGTAATGTATTTTATTCATTCTGCATTCAGTGGGCAGTCTAGTTACTTCTGTACTCTTCTACTATGATTCCTGTTGCTACAATCATTTTGGTCCCTATTTCCTGCGCCACGTGTGTAACGGTTACGTGCCAGGCGAATTGCTAGGTTGGATAATTGTTCAACTTTACAAGGAAATGCCTACTTATGTTTGAGAGTGTTTAAGCCAGCCTCTACTCCCATCAGTAATGAGTGAGAAGTTCCATTTACCCTACACTTTGCCAACCCTTTGTTTTCTTTGACTTTTTAATTTTTATGAGTCTGATAGGTATAAGAAGTGTCAGTTTTCCCTGTGTAGTAATGACATCGAGACAGTGATGGGCTGGGACAGGGGGTGATTGCATGCATCTCTATGTTCAATGACATCAGGTTATTAATTTAAAGTCGGCCCTGACTGAGAAATTTATAACCCTGTTGCTATAAACCTGGACTTTGTTCCCCAATCTTTAATGCTCAATTGAGCATATATTTGTGTATTACTTAGGCATTTGTGTTTCTCTGTGAAATGTCATTTTGTGTCTTTTTGGTCATTTTTCCACTGGGTTATTTTTTTATATAGGTGTGTCAGTGATTCTAGTTACTAACTAATCTTTTATTAGGTTATATATCACAAAATTACCATCCCAAATGTAAGGCTTCATTTTCATTGTGTGCTGAAGTGCATAGGAGTTCTTCATTTTTTGTGCTCAAAACATTTTTCCCCATGTGTATCTTTTTATCTATTTTCTCATCACCAGAGATGTAAAGAATCTCTTTTATTTTTGCTTCCAAAAGTTTTGAAGTTTCAACCTTTCTGCAGTTGGTTTTGTGGCAGTGTAGAAAGTGGGGCTACCTTTTTTTTTTTATTATTTCCTAATTCCACATGAATAACCATCATACCACCATTTACCAAAAAGTTCCTTTTTCCCCTAGCTGATCAGCAAACTCTATGCTCTGTCCGTGTTTCATATGTATGTGGATCTCAGGTCTTTCAGTAGTCCATATATATATACCTCTGTGAATAATACAGTATGTTGTTTTACTATACATTTAAAATGAATCTTGATATCTAGTTATACTGTCTCTTTTTAATATTGTGGCTATATGACCTTTTTCTCTTTTAATTACTTTAGACTTACATATAATAAGCCCATCAAAAGAAAAAATTGGAAGCTTTGCTGAAATTTCACTAAATATATCAGTTAACTTGGCAAAATTTACATATTCATAACTACCTTTATTTGTGAGTACCATTGTAGCATGAAAAGGTAATTGCATTGTGACCAGAGAATGCAATTTACAGAATAAACACTCCTCAAAAATCTGCTGATGTTTGTCTGCCTCATGGCCTACTACTTAGTGACTACAGAAGCTCAAATTGAGGCAGAGAATTCTGCAGTTGCTGGATATTCCCGTTCTGTGTACTCCATCAGAAGGCACATCAGGGGTTATTTTTCCTCTACTTATATTCATTTCTTTGTCTGCTTGTGCCATTGGTTCCTGTGTTAAAAAATTCTACCTTTTGGTTTCTTTTTAAAATTTTTCATTATGCACTTTGAAGTAATGTTTTTAGATACATTCAGGCTTGGAATTATGTCATCTTCTTTTATGAAAATTTCAGGACTCTCTTATTTAGCGATCTACTTTTTACTGCCTGTTTTTGATTGATTTCAAATAGTCACACAACTTTCTTTAGGTTGATTTCTTTTGATCTTATGTATTTTTCATCTATTTAAACTTTTAAGTATCCTTATATTTTAATTATATTTATGGTATATATGTATCTGGGTTGTTTCCTACCACCTGGTAAGTTTTGATTGGTAGTTGGAAGAATTTTTCCTTTTATACTTTTTTATTTAGTAAAACATCTAGCTTCATTACAACTCTCTTATTTTGTATGTTTTATTTGCTTCTATGTCATATTATTTTATTTTGTTTTAGGTGATGGTCCTGAGGATTGAGCCCATGGCTTTTGCATCAAGATAATATTCCAAGCCTTTTTTATTGTATTTGTTTTTTTATTTTAATATGGGGTCTCATTAAGTCACTAAAATGCCCAAGCAAAAAAAACGTTTTATAAATTCTCCATTTGTCTGTAAAACTTCTTTTTTTTCTTTGTCTTTTTTAAGGCAGGGTTTTACTATAGGTTCAGGCTGGCCTCAAACTTGTGGCAATCCTCCTACTTCAGCCTCCCGAGTGCTGGGAATACAGGGATGTGCCACCACACCAGGCTCTGTAAAACCTCTTGTTATAACTCTTATTCTTGAAACATATTTTGGCTACATAGAGAATGTGAAAGTCTTAAATTCTCTCATTGTTTTATTTCATGACTGCAATGTTGGCTGTTAGTTTATCTTTAGTATGCAACTCTTTCCTTCTATTTGATTTTCAGATCTCTTTTGCTTTCATATTGAGCATTTTAACCTCAATGAATCATGTGCTGATTTCTTTTGATTTATGACATTAGGAATTCCTTGAGCATCCTAGTCTTAGAAACAGTGTCTTTTGCCATTTCTAGAAAAACCTAAGGTGTTACTTTGGTTTTTTGTTTTTGTTTTTCGTGGTCTTTTTGTTTGTTGAGATAAGGGCTCCCTATGTAGTTCAGCCAGGCCTAGAACTCACTATGTAGCCAAATCTGGCCTTGAACTCATGGTGAGCCTCCTGCCTCAGCTTCCTGAATGCTGGGATTACAGGCATGTGCCATCATGCCCGGCTCCTGCTTCATTCTTTCTAGTTTCACTTGTGTAACTCAGATTAGATATATAACAGATCTTCTAGGTGTTTTCTCCTGACCTCTTCTCCATTTATATCTTTCTCTATTCAGCTAAAGAAGCTTCTCTCCCTATGTCATCCAGTTTACTCATTCTCTTTTCAGCTGTTTCTGATTAAATGGTAAGCCCATAAATCAAAGTTCTAAATTTAATTATGATTACATTTTTATTGTTTCCTTTCATTTTTATGTCACCTGGATCCATTTACATAGCTTTCTTCTCCCTTTACTATACTCATAATTCCTTTTCAATTCTTAAAATTTTATTTATTTATTTATTTATTTAATAGCACTGGCGATCAGACTCATGACCTTGCACTTGCCAGGCAAGCACTTGAGACACTGAGCTAAATCCCCAGCCAATTTTTTTTTTAATTTTAAAAAACAAAACAGAAAAAAGAATAGAAAAGATACAGAATTTGAAAAAAAATAGTGAGAAATTAACACTAGTTAATACACTGCATATTGTAGTCTTAGAAGTAGTTGTTCAAGTTACAAGATCTAGGCATTAAAAAAAGATCAAACAATAAATAACAGCATAAACATTTTTTATGAACAGAGATTGGTAGTGTAGTTATCTATCTTGCATACATATACATACATACAATTATATATGCATACCTACATACATATAATCTGTTCCTTTCTTCCTTTCTCCTTTCCCCTATCCCAGTTGTTCTTTCCTTTTGAGCACTTTCTTTCCCAATACAGAAATGGGCATCTGAGATCAACACACACTTCTCAGATGAAGAAAAATAAATGGTAAACGAATACATGAAGCAATGCTCAACATCACTGCTCATTCGAGAAATGCAAATTAAACCAACACTGAGATTCCATCTCCCTCTAGAAAGAATTACTGCCATTAACAAATCAACTGAAAGCAAATGGTGGGGCTATGGGGAAAAAGGAGCCCTTCTCCACTGTTGGTGGGAGTGTAGACTGGTGCAGCCACTGTGAAAATCATTGTGGAGATTCCTAAAATAACTAGGATCAAAAGTCTCATTCAATCAGCTATTCCCCTTCTGAGTACTTTTTCATAAGAATTGAAAACATCATACCATAGGATATAGGTACCCCCATGTTTATAGCAGCACAATTTGTAATAGCCAAATCTTGGAAACAATCCAAATGCCCATCAACCACAGAATGGTTTAAAAAAGATATGGTATTTTTATACAATAGAATACTACTCAACTATAAAAAGGATAATTTTGAGGCTTTTAAAGGTAAATGGAGGCAACTTGAGAACATACTCATAAGCATAACAAATCAAATTCACATTTATAAATATTATAATCTCCCTTGTATAAAAAATAATAATAAGAATAAAAAATTGAAAGAGTCATAAGATCCAAAGTGCTCCTTATTAATTTTTAGAGGATATTTATCTTAACTTGAGTCACAATACCCAGCACTCAAAAATTAAAGGAAGAAAGATTTATTTCACCTCACAGTTTGTAGATGTTTAAGTCATAGTCAGCTGGCTTCAAGGCAGAATGGAATGGCAGAGGAAAACCAGTCTTCTGCAGGGCAGGCAAGAGGCAGCAGGCAGCCTGCCTTTCACATTTCCCTTTCTGCTCCATCTGGGCTGCTGGCCTGTTGATTGGTACCACCCACATCGAGGATGGGCCTTCCATTATCCACACCCAGAACTGTTTAGTTACCAAACAGCCTTCATCTCAGCATCACACACTCATGATCTAACCACCTCTTAAGTGCTCCAGCTGTGAGCATGTGTTGCTTCATTATATAAGCCATAACAATATTAAACATAATTGCTCTATATTGTATATCTGATCGCTCTAATACCTGCTGTCTTTGTAACTCTTGATTCTGTAGTGTTTTTGTTGTGGTGGTGGTTTTGGTTTGTATGGTACTGGAGAATTGAACCCAGGGCCTACCCAATAAGGTGTATATTCCAGCCTTTTTTTTTTTTTCTTTTCTTTTTTTTAAGATAATGTCTAGGTAGCTAAATTATACAGGCCAGGCCCAAACTTGCGATTCTCCTGACTCAGGCCCCTGATGTGTTGGGATTGTGTTGTGTTGCACCATGCAAGGCACAGTCTATTTGTTTCTTTCAACTTTCATTCATAACACTTATTTTTTAATATGTTTAGTGATTTTTTTTATTGTGAGGTCATATTCCATTGACATATTTGGGAATTCTTTGACATCTGAATTGAGAAAACAGCACTCCAAAAGAGTTTTGCTTTTGTTTTCAGTATGTTAGAGGCAATTTACTAAAATTTTAGATCATGAATTTTCAGGCCCCTCTGAGTAATACAGAGTCAGGTCCCAAACCTACATAAGTACAGGATTGTGGTTAGGAATTATTCAGGAGAGGCTCATATTCTTCTCACTTGTTGAGTTAAAAACAAGCCACTGCTTATTTCTACAAAGATTCTTTCCCCCTAGTTCACCCATTAAAGTTCTGCTGCTTGTTCTTTGTGCCTGATGAAACCCTAAAGTGCGGGCCACCAGGGTTCAGCATCACATCACCCTCGAAGCAAATTATGCCTCAGTATCCTCTCACCCCAGTGGGTTCTCTGCATTGCAGTCCTGTGCCTTCACAGAATTCCTTTATCTCTCTGCTAGCTCAATCTTATATTACACTATGCATAGCATAGTATAATATCATTATATATTATATAATATATTATGCATATAATATTATATGTGTGTGTGTGTGTGTGTGTGTGTGTAGTGTGTGTGTCCAGTGTTTTTACTTGTGTGTCTCTGGTAAGAGTTTCTGTCATCTGCTGACAGTCACATGCAGACAGAGCTCATAAAACTTGCGGTATCCTGCACAGATTAACTCAAATACACTGCATGTCCCACAGACAAAATCAGAAGAGACGGATAGTAAGAGAGCAGACAAATGAGATGGTGATATTCAATATGTTAGTGAAAACTGAAAATGGAAAGCCATGATGTAAATTAAAGATATGTGTAAGATGCAGCTTTGATATCTTATTCTAGGAAAGTGTTCAGGATTTAAGAAAAAGAATCACAGTGCTTGACTGCCAGTTGCGGAAATCAGAAATTGCTCGAAAAACATTTGAGGCATCCACTGAAAAGCTTCTTCATTTTGTAGAGGTAAACTTTTTTGTTACATTTGACCCTCCCTCTCTTTGGATTCCATATCTTGAATTCAACTAACCACTGATCCAGAATATTCCAAAACCAAGAAATTCATAAAGGTAGCCAGTTATGCTGATGTACACTGGTGATCCTACCACCTTGGGAGGCCAAGGGAGAAGAATCATGAGTTTGAGCTGGCCTGAACATCATAGCAATTTACCAAGACTCTATCTCAAAAATTTCACTCAGTGCAAAAGCTCTGGATTCAATGCCCCGCATGTAAAAAGGAAAAAAACATCAAAGAAGTTCCAAAAAGCAAAATTTTAATTTCTTACCACCAGGCACTACACTGAATCCATACAAATGAAGTGAGAGGGAGTCTCCCACCCTTTCACAGATTCTCAGTCCTCCCCAGCACTGATGTTTGAACATCACTCATTTGAATGCTAAATAGTTAGGTGCGCAATGGTTGCCTCTGTACAGAACACATGCAGATTTTATTCTTGTGCTAATTGGGTAGAGGTACAGTAGAACAACTATTTACATAGTATTTACATTGTATTATATAATAATCTAGAAATGATTTCAAGTGCACAAGAGGATATAAATGGATTATTTGCAGATAATCCATTTATAGGTATTCAGTATTATGCTATTTTTATGAGGATTGAATGTCTATGATTTTATTGTTCTTCAGGATTTGAAATCAATCCCCATAGATACTAAGGTCAATTTTTAAGAAATAAGCAACTGATGTAATAAATATTGAAGAGTTTGGTGGCATAGATACATTTTGTGGTCTCAAAACAACAATGCTGATCTATAGTCAGGTTTAGACTGGCCTCAGGAATGAAAAGTTTGGCTAACATTATATAGATTGTTAAGAGAGATCATTGAGACACAGTAGCACAATCCCAAATATATACTATGTCATAGTGAGTACTTTCCTAAAAGGACTGATACCATAAAAAAAAATTTGATACTTAGAAATGTTTTTATAACTATTACATTTTGGAGTAAAGTTGCATGTTAATAAAATCTATTTCCCTATTAACTGAAACATTTGTTTACTCAATAAAAGAAAGGCTTTATAAATATTAATTATGCAAGAAAACATGTTTTTAAAGTGTCAAATTTACATATCTCCTCCAATTTGTTTGTTGCTAGACTATTCAAGAAGTACTTTCTGGTAATTCTGCCGCTTTGTCAAATTTAAGGTAAGAATATTTAAGTACTTTCTGGGAAATATCCACTAATTAAATTTTCCCTCTAGAAAGTGTGACCAAAATACTAAGAGTCTCTTAAATGGTTTTAAGGTGCTACACAATTATTATTGGATGGCATTCTTTAATGTCTGAAGAAAAGTATAAAGACATACTGGTTTTGGTCATATCACTGTAAAAGAAATTCCTGGAAATGTATGACCAATCTTTGTAAACTTGTATTCTGAAATTGAAGTAGAAATCACTTATGCTGTCTTGTAAAAAATTCTATAAAGGTGAGATTACCTTGAAGTTCTTTAATCATTCTGTGTGTAACTGTCAGTGATAACAAGTGTACAGTTAAAGGTCAGCCTCAATCCAGGAGATTAGTTATTACGTCAAACAGAATTTTGTAAAACACATTGATGCTATCAATTTCTTTCATTTTCATAATTAAATAGATACAAATAAAAGGAATATATGTGGACAATGCACTTTGATTTCCTTATTAGTCATAATGTTTCAGGTTCCAAGTTTCTTCCTTGGAGCACAAATTTATGGTTCTTCTGATACATGATGAAAGACATATGCAAATGAGACATTCCTATTTATACATTTCAGTAGTTGTCCCCTCATCTTGTAATAACTGCAATTGGTTCTAAATGTCTTATGCTAGCAATATCACTTGCAGAAATACAGTAAAGCTACCTTTTACCGTGAATGCAATATTTTAATAAAGAAATAGATAAAGATATATTAAATGTCCATGTAGCTTTTTTAAAAATAGAATAATGTCTATAGTTGTTCACTTTTAAGCTCATTTTAATTTAATGTTTTATTTCTTATGATGGAATCTGACTTTTGTTATTCATTCTGCGTATGATATAATTATATGAATTACCGTTTTCAGCGGAGACCTCAAAATAGTCATATTTCCCTTGCATGAGTTAAGTGTGTCCCCCATCACCACTCTCCAAGCTTTTGTTTTTCCCTGCCTAATTACAAGAAATTTGGTACTTAATCAATGTTAAGAAAACTATTTAAAAGCCTGGGCCTGCTCTTTTACGGTAAACAGCCTACTGGGAAGAGACCAATTTTAAAAAGCTTTGTTAAGCCACTTTTCTTCACATCTTGAAAAGTTAAACACTAACAAAATGTGAGTCAGGTTTCTTAATGTACCACATCTTCCATACAGATACTGAAGTCAAGTCTGTGTCTTTTTAATTTGAGAATTTATTCTCCTTGTAAGTTAATGTCATTATGCTTGGGCCTGTGGATTGTAATTGATGATTTTATAATCAATATCAATTTATCTCCTCTTTTCAACTATAAGTTTTAATATAATGGCTTTTTAGGGAAAACCTTGTTTTTAGTTAGAATGTATTCATTTCAAATGATATTTGTCTTTTTAAGTGATGTAAGTGCTTTAGGCTGCTTAGAGCTGAGGTAACAAATAAGAAATGTTTAAGAAATAATTTCAGGAATGAATGTATATGTTGAATTTATAAGAGTAATAGAAGTAATAGAGCATGTCTCTAGTAAATTTGTGTTTATATACTTAAACACAAACTTTGTATATACTCTACAAAGCACAATGAAAGAAACCAAGGATGTTGCCATATTAACAAAACACACATTTACAAAATAAGCCCAGCGAATAATTTAGGAAGGAGACATTCCTTCGGTTACTTTTTCCCTATATGGGAAAAAGGTACGTGCCTACAGGTATGTGCCTATAATCCCAGTAGTGGGAGGCTGGGGCAGGAGGATCCACACGAGTTCCAGGCCAGCCTGGGCTACATAGTAAGTTCAAGAAGAGCCTGAACTACACAGTGAGACCTTGTCTCAATCAATCAATCAATCAATTAATAAATAAATAAATATGAAGATTGTAGTTTTCCTAGAAATAGAAAAGAATATTTTACAAATTGTATTGCATACAAATTCAGATTTAGGCGAGACATATATAACAACTTTCAAGTTTGTTTCATTGCCCACATAGTGAAAGAAGAGCTATGCTAGCTTCTCAGACCTCTCTCACACCACTGGGAAGGAACAGACGAAACATCTCAGCAGCCCTGGTGCTGGAATCTAAGGAGCTCATTAAGTCTGTTCGTGCCGCACTTGATATGGATTGTAAGTTCTCTTGATTTTTTTTCTCCTTTTTTTCATGATTCATCTAACAAAACAGAAAAAAATTCCAACTCTCTCAGATTAATTTCATTGTTTGTCGGTTTGCCTAAAGAAAACCAATAACTAATCAGTGAAAATCTTAGTGCACCAACTGAAGGAGGAGAATCTTTGATTTATTCTTAGGATTCAAGCGTCTTCTAACTGAAGACACCTGATTGAGATGGAATGCATATTTTTAAAAATTCATAGCAGTGCTGAAAACTAGAAGGGTAGAATAAACATTGAGGAATGCTATAATTATACCAAACACATAAAATAAGAATGAAGTACAGCCCAGTTGAGAAAAAGACCCCAAGATATAATAAAGGTTAAAGGCTGACTGCTGAAGCAATGTGTTAAGTAGAACCCTTTGGGGTGGTAAGTGCTGGATCACAATCAGGCAAGACCAGGGAAAGATCTCCGCAGTCAACATGATTATTAATGAAAGCACTGTGGAAGAGCTGAATCAGATTCCTAGTTTCAGACCTGTGGCCCAGTCATGGACTCCTCATCGAGCGTCTAGAGCGTAAGACGTTTGTTCTTAGACACTATATGGTCTGTCGTTACATACTCTAGAGTCAACATTAGACTACAAAGAGAAGCAGAACAGTGCTCTAAGTGACTTCCAGCATCCCAACAGACAGAAATCCTTCGAGAAAACATGATTAGACATTTCCCTCTTTCCTTCCTGGGAAGATATCTCCCAGGTACTTTTGGCTCTTAATGTATTTTAATTCCCTCTTTATAACCATTGACACACCCTTCATTTTTCCCTGCAATAAAAAAGTATAGGTAATTTTCCTAATTACACCCGTTATTTATAAAAATCAATAACATGCCCTAACTGTACTCTAGGGGAAAATTAACCCAAGATGCTTTATAATAAAACAATATATTTTTCAATAGGTAAATTATTTACTACAGCAATATTAGAAGATGTAGTTTCTCAGATGCTTGTGCCTATGCTTGTAGTCTCCACAAATAGGCTTATGAAAGAACACTGTAATTTTGATTTAAATAGTGTAAGCACATTGACATCAATATTGTCATTGTCCATAATTATGAACAACTCTTGTTAAATTCTGAACAAAAAAATAATATAATTTTCTCTCAGTTTACCTAGTAGTTACAATGCTGGAAAAGTTCATGTATATGAAAATCATGCAAAAATATTGGGGATTTATCTGAAAGTAAAGTTATATTCTGGGCTCAATTAACAGTTTTATTTTGGTTTAGTTTGGTTTTATAGCAACACAAATCATGCAGAAATGTGATTGTTAATTGTGTGAATTTGATTTACACAGGCGCCACCAAGGGGAAGTAGAGCACACTTCTGGGTATATCTGGGTGGGTCATGGATACATGATTTGCAATACTGTATCTGGCTTCTTGCCTCTTCCTCTCTCGCACTGATCCATGCTCTCCTTGGCCACCATAAAAGAAGCTTTGCTCTACCATACCCTTCTACCATGATGTGTGTCTCAGAGCCACCTGGCCATGGACTGAAGCCTCTGAATCCATGAGCGACATTAAACCTCTCCTCCTTTAATCTGTGATTGTTGGACATTTGGTCCTACCAGTCAGAAAGCTGACTAATATAAGGATGTAGAACGTAACTTTTTTGTACAGAACTATCTAATGCATCATGTAATAGGCTGTTCTGCATTTCTGTTACCCTTCCACTTTGTGCCAAAAATACCCCCAAACAATAGACAATAGATAATGCCTCACAAACTTCCAAAAATGTTCCTTGGTGTAATAGCACACTTAATAAGAACCTTTGATGTTGATCTTCTAGGTAATGAACAATGACTAAGAATCACCTAATAATGGTCCATTGATAAGAAGAGCTACAGATAGGGATATTTTAGACAGAGATAAAGTTGTCTTCAATTAAATGAATATAATATCCTGAAGATACTATATTTTTAAGCTATATTTTTAAGCAAACTATATTTTTAAGCAAAATGTAATTACTATACTTAAGGAGTCAATAAGACATTACAGTCATAATATAAGAAATAGCTTCTGTGAATGAAAAAACTTGGAAGAGAACTTTCAAATGTAATTTTAAATATCCTTTTCTATTGCATAAAAATACATAATTACTACTGAAAATTTGTTGTGAATATTAAATAATATAATTTATATAAAGCAACTATCCCTATGACATTTCCTAACACAAAACATGTTTTGAGTTTTAGTTGAACTTCCTACATAATACTCTTTATTAGCTACTTGATCTACCATTTCTACTTAACCAAAACCCCAAAACTTAATGGCTAAATGTTTATGGTCCTGTTGGTTAAATGGGGATGAGTAGGCAGTTCTTCTTAGAGCCTTGTCATTTCATTACAGTCAGGTGTCTGCTGAGATTGTTCCTCTGCTGTGTGAAAAATCCAGATGAGGGCTCAGTTTGGGATATCAACTGTAGCACCAAAGTATCTGTGGCCTCTCTAGTGTGGAGGCCATGAAGTAGTTAAATTTGTTATGTGATGGTTAAGCTTTAGCACATATATTTAAATTAGCAAGACAGAGGCTCTATAATATTTATACCCCCCTCATATATCCCTGAGCTTCACTTCCAACATGTTCTGTTGCTCATTGAACAGAAAGAGGTGTGTCTGTTATGGCGTATGTAAAGATGTCCCCTCAAAGCCTCATGGTGGGAATTTGGGGAGGTGGCTGAATCTTAAAGAGTGTATGATGATGGGATTAAGGAGTGATATCTGAGACTGATTCATGGTATGATGCTAAGATTAGGGGGTGGCCCACTCTGGGTCTGAGTGCTACTCACCCTAAGGAAGGTGGCCTGAATGGAATATAGGGGGCAGAAAGAGGGCTGCCGTTGCTGTTTGTCACTTCCTGCTTGTCGCTTGCTGCTTGCCTCTTCAATGCCGGCTCATTCTGCCTGCCCTGCTTTGCCATGAACTGTTTCTGCAGTGCCTCTCTGTCATACACCCTGCCTTGGAGCCAAGTGCTGTGGACTGAAACTTCTACAAACTGTGAGCCCAAATAAATCTTCCTTTAACTTTGTCTCAGCAACAACAATAACAAAAATAACAGAAGGTAGGGGCTGAGACTCCACCCTAAAAGGGGGAAGTAGCAAAGTCACATGACAGAAGAGCATGTAATTGAAAGTCATTCTTGTAACCCTTTTGGGAGAACACAATTAGTATATGTCAAGTATGTTAGTTTAGTTGTGAGGTCTCAATATCATCATTACAAGTCTCCATTATAAATGGCATTTTAGTAGACTCTATGCTATACTTTGTTGTTGTTTCTTTCCTTAATATCACTGTTGGCTGTCTGGTGAGCACATGTGTAGTGTTAAGTGAAGTAAGTCAGACACACCATCTTCAATATTGCATGGTTTCTCTTGTATGAGAAACCCAGAGTATAAATAATTTAAAGAGCAAAATTAGGAAACAGAGAGATAGATCTTTTGCAAATGAGAAGGGAACCCAGAAATGGAAGAGAAAAGAGGAAGTGGAGGGGAAGGGAAAGTAAAAAGAATTAAGATGTGTTTTACGTACATATACCAACCTCCCATGATGCATGAGATCATTTTATACTGCATTCATCTACTAATACATTTTTTAAAGCTTTTAAAAATAATGGATAGGTAGATGCATGGATGAGTGGATGGAGATAGATAAATCTGCTACTTGAAAAAGTAACACAGTTTGAATATGGTTCTGAGTAATAAATAGGTTGGCCTGATGTAGAGTAACATTCTAAGACCTTTTGGACAAATTTTGATTTCACAAATATGTTACAGAGGATTAGAAACCTTGTCTTTAGTAGTATCTGTTCACTTTATATAATAAGTATGTTTTTAAAATTCTGAATAACCTAATATATTTTTAAAAATCAATATACATGTCAAAAATCCCTAAGAATTCATTATGTAAAGAAGTTCTGTGGGTCTTAAAATGGATGAAAATAATGTGTTATATGTAAGCTCAGAATTCCAAGTACCAAGCATTTTTTATGTTAGGGAGGGAAACACCTGTGCAGACACAGGGCAGTGGGCACTGCCAGCACTGATTTTAATTACCTCGCTAACGTTAACTTTTATACCTGTGAAACATGATTATTCAAGAAAAATATTTAACATTCAGTAGAATTTCTTTGAAAGGAAAGAGCAAAATTACATCTGCACTTCTTACTCATTTCATGCCTTGCTGTTTAAAACTCACAAATAGTTTATCTGTTGTCTTTTTTATGTAAAATATAATTGCTAATGTTGGCATATTTCACCGGTAGTTTTTTTCAAAAACAACTTTATCAGACATCTTTTTAAGCTGAATAATTCAGAGAAACTCGGCTCATTTTTCTTTAAACAATGGGGTTTTCTACATATGTAGTGGGAAATAGCAAATTATGACACCGCGATAGATAATTTAGCCACAAGCTGTAAGTCATTTCCTTTGGCATGGCTATCTGCTTATTTCAGGTTACAATTTGAAATATTTACTTAGGTAATTGCCTCCATTTTGTTCAATACAAGTATACTATAAGATGTTACTTTAGGGTTTTTCTCAGAAATCTGAAGTATAAGATTCCTTGGGTCTTAAAGCTTAAAACCAGGCTCCAAGGACTGAGTAAGAAGAAAGACTCTCTGGATCACGGACTCCACTGAAACCTGATGAAAGCCTTATTCCCAGAAATGGGCATTTTCATACATGGCGCAACGATTGCCAGAGTATTTATGAACTACCACCTAAGAATCCCTCTCACAGGGAACGCAGTGCTTTCTATAGCACTGTAAACATGGCCATCTGCCTCCATACACTGTGGAGAAGGATGGCAAGCCAACCATGTAAACCACGGTCCTCTGACTCTTTGATATCCCCTATGGGTGCCCCATCATGTACTACAACTGCTCATCCACCTTCACTGGAAAATTACTTAACCCATGGGTCTGTTTTCTCATGGAGAAAGTGGAGCTCACACTATCT